TACACTAAATTAATAATGTCCTGTGAGGCTGTAACTCCTAACTTTGGATTTTAAAAAATGTACCATATAATACTTATGAATTAAAATTGTGTCTTATCACTTGTCAGTTATAACGGGTATTTCTAAATGAAACCGTAATGTATGTAAGTAACGAGTACTTAAAAAAGCTGCAATATAATCGGGGACCGGAAAATCGACGACGGCGCGCGGCGTTTGTATTAATTGGCCTCTTGTATTTTATGCATTTTGCTCTCATAAATAAAATATCTGTTTTTCGTGAAATTAAATATTTATTTAAAGAAAAAAATTAAATCTAAGCCTCGGAAGATTATGAAAACAAACTTAATTACTCTAAACAACGACTCTTTCGGGTATCGGCGGAATCAGTGATATTGTGTGTGCACTGCGGAACAAATGAAATATCTACAACTGAACTAGTTTGAAAATTGTAGGATTAATTATGAAATAAACGGCACAGAACGCAGTACATGCAGCTTGCTTATGACTGCTTTGCCAACTGAAATTTTAGTCTTTAATTCACTACGTATTCTGCAACTACATTGACAATCACCAAGGATTGTATTATATTTCGTCAATTATGGTAAAACCATGGATATATTATATTATAACTTTTCATACGATTTGTTCACTGAATTAATAAAATATGATATTATAGTTACCAAAATACTTTATGATTTTTTATTTAAATTTTTCTTTTTTTTTATTTAAGCTTCAAAAACTGAGGCCATTTATTTAAATTATATCAACATAAATAGTATTATTATCATTTATTTTTTTTGTTTATTGATTAAGGTGGGGTTTAAATATTAGAAGCACAAGCTTATTTTTCATGAATTATTAAATAAAAATTTTATTATAAATAAATGTAATTACTAATATTTAGAGTAAACATAAAGATACATATATGTATAATATATGCATAATACATCCCATTTGCGGTATCTACGTTTGTAAAATACTAAGTCAAATATTTTCTCTGAATACTGTCAGAAACACAAAATTAATAATTAATATTTTGTGTATTTAGTATTAATTTCGATTGCATTTGATAGGTATACCTATTTTATAATTTTATATTTTAAACAATTCAAGAATATAATATATTCATATTTCCTCATAATATATTTGTGTATTGTTAGTTTCAATACACAATAATGCAATTTTAAAAATATTTCAATTATTATTTTTCAGCTTTTATTGAATGGTGCCTCCGCTGAACCTTACGATTCATTTTTTATGTCTTACACATTTATCTTTTGTTCATTGAAATTATTAGAATTGTGAATCGTTTCCGATAAGTGACGACGATCAGCTTTTGCCATAGATGATAGATTTTATAGAATTAAGAATAGTAATAAAACAATATGATGTCATCTAAGTTTTTTACTTCTTTGGATGACACGACAAATTTTTTATTTCAAATTCCGATACAGAATATTATTCGGAGTATTTACATCTAAAAAATTCATAACACGGAACTTTGCGTACCTATACCTACAGTCTATTCAGCTACACTACTGTTGAGAGTCCATTAATTTTTCAGACAGATCACAATATTGTTTTTAGTTTTAATGGCTAAACCTCAACTAAATATAAGACTCTAGAAGTTTAGAGACTTGAGAGAAATACAAAATTAGGATTTGAAATTTACAAAAGTAAAAACAAATTGGATACATTAATCTTGCCTATAATATTCTATCTGGGACCGACATTAATGTTGAATTAAACTATATTATTCTATAAGACTATAAATAGTGTGCTGTCTGCACTGCTGCTGACGTACCTATTTTCTAAAAAATGAAGTGACTATATATTACTACAGTACTAAGTAACAAGTAACAACGATTATCTATAGTAATAACCAGGGCCCGGATTTATATGGAAAAATTATTGTTAACTTGTTAAGTATGCTCATATTTATGCACTCAACAATTTACAAGACCAATTTGAAGTAACTAATGCCTCGACTCTCGAGTAATGCTAAAAAATGTACTTGGAAATGTTCACACATCATCATCTGAATGAAAGTAAGCATGTGATAGATATTTAAAAAATGTATTATTGGTAACTATCCATCGGGGTTGTGGATTCAAAATTAAAATTATAAAAACTTTGAACATTGGACTTGAAACAATTCTAAAAAATGATGTGAAATTATAAAAAATAATAAGTCACATAAGTCTTATGAAAGCTAAGATGAATAAAATATAAGATGACTATTTTAAACCACGTTAATTTAGGTTTGTAATGTAATAGATATGTATGTGATATGAACTTAGAAAAATGTATCAAGAACATAAATTTATAAAACAACTTTTAAAAATTAAAATATTACGTAAAAATGATTAGATATGTTTAAATAATATACACAGTTCATTGATGAAGGGAATATAATTATAATACACAATAATTAGATAATAGTTAATTACCATTAAAATTATTATTTTAATACCTATAATAGAAATCCAATAATTGTGTAGCTACTAGCTAGGTTTTAACAGCTCGACTAGTAAATACTATACTATAGTTTTATGAAAATAAAATAAATGATAAATAAATAAAAGAATGGTTTACCTAAAAAATTTCAAACAGTTTTGAAATCAGCGTTGAGAAACACATCTTTTAAAAATAAATCAAAATTCATAAAGGGCGTGGTAAAGTGCATTTTAGCCCATTATTTCGACTACTTATAGTGTAAGAAGACACAAGTAAAAAAAAATATTTATTTTGATTCATGTTGAGCTATTTATAGGCTTATACAATTTTTGATTATATTACTTTTAATAAAATTAATGTCAACGGAAACATATGTGCTAGGACAAAAAGCTTGAAAATTTAATACAAGAGTATTCAGGACAGTCTTTAATCATTTTCTAGACTTTTGATGGATACACAATCTCGAGGACGATGATGTCATATGATGTTGAGCATGGGGTGGGGAGAGAGTATCCAATGGTACCAAGCAAATAAAATATGTTGGTGGTGCACTGCTTTTGCAGTAAACAACACATTTCTTTTTTTATCATTAATTGAGGTTTACAAATTATACACACTAGCATAATAATAATAATATTACTTTTAATTAGTAATTTCATAATTGTATCAATATAATAATCGATAAATTAAAACTATAAAATATTTTTCGACTAACAACAACTTATAGTAATATTTGTTTTGTTTAAAAATATATATTAATATTGTAATTCAAAATAATAACTAGTAACGTAAAAAAGAACTAATAATAATAGAAACAGTCAATTTCATTAAATGAAGACAAATAATAAAAAAAATAAAAAAATCAGACATCGATATATAATATATAACGTTAAAATAAATAAAACATTTAACAAAGAGTTGATTTAATTCTAATCATATAGCATGGGTTAGTTAATATTTAACAACACAATTTTACAATACATAAGGTAATTTCAATTGTCACATACAACAGGTGGTCCCCTTAATTAAAAATGTTTACCCACTGTACTATGAATTAAAATATACATTTCTATTTTAAATTTAAATTTTGATGAAAGCGTAAAATATGACAAGCAATATAGGTAAACACATATATTTTAATCAAAACTAATAAATTCTGAGGACGGCTGGTGCAATGTTTAACTAGTAATGCAATTTAAAATAAAAAACATTAGATCAATAAGGAATAAATATGTGAATTTTGAATAAAGATTTTTATACCTCTGTACCGTCCAGAATTTTTAGCATAGTTAATATTTATAAACAAATAAATTAATAAAAGATATAATTTAGAGTTATACAAATTGTTAACAAATTCATCAAATTCGTAATTATACACTCCAATATAATAAAACAATATAATATTATATGTTTGGATACACAGTGGTACACTAAATTGACAGGATTGATTTTATTTTAACTCATCAATTGTATGAGACATTTATACATTGTTCAGTATGTAGCTAATTTATCAGTATTTATTTACTGATGAGATGTTAAACATTAAATGGACTAACCTGCAACATAGACTATTTATACTTACAACTTAAAATAATTTATAAATAATTTAACACAGTATACGAGTATACAATACAATTTTCTTTTCTAAACAACTAATAAAACTGATTTTTGTACTTATAAATAAAAATTATAACTGTCTTAATTTATTGTACTAATGCATAAAATACCAGTGAAAATTAAAAACAAATGCATTTTTGTTGAGCAGACCCGCATTTAACAAATCGATTAAATTAAATATTTTTTTTAATAATGGCACTTGTACTTTTAAAATAAAATAACTGCTTATTTGATCAAATTTTGTCTATAAAAAATATAATTTTCTTTAACATTGGCCAAACAATTTTTGAATTATTTTTTCTTTATTATTTTACAAATTGTATATATCTTGCATAGTTACATCCAATGGATACAGAATATTTTAATTTTATGAACACAAATATAGAGCGATAAAATTTTAGAATTTCTTAGATTAATTACTGAAGTATAAAGTAGTTTGCATAAATATTAGATGTTAATTTTAAAGCTTTGATTTTCACAACACATTGTAAACAAATAAAACTATTTTTAAGTATAATATGTTGTACAACTTTAAAATATATAATTTACATTGAACAGTTTGTATTTATATGTCATAATAAACATTAAAAATAACTTAAACAAAATGTTGGCATTGGCCATTTTATAATAAAATTAATGAGTAAAAATACATTTTCAAACTTAAACATAAATCTGTTAATTTTACTTAAAATATTCATACAATTAAATGGAATTGAAGTATCTTGAATAATTATATCAATTTAAAAATGAATAACCACGCAAATCTATGGCACAAATATAATTAATAATTAAGCATTATAAGTATACACTAAGTAAAAAATAATATATATAATAATAATAATAATAATAATAAAAACAAACAAGAGTGAACTACATTAAGAGCAATTACAATAAGTTCTGAAAGACTTTTATGGTGGTGGATTTGTCTATTGTGTTTAGAGATCGATATTATTATTATAATTAATTAATATACATGTTATGTTACACAGCTATAATAATAATAATAATAAAACAGTTGAGGTAAGAATAATTAAATGTCAGTGCTATAACAGGTGTCGAGCAAGTGCTATTTATTAACATTTATAAATGAGTGTCCTCAGTCTAATTATTGGTAAAATAACCGTTTTAACATTTTCATTAATTCTTTATTCAACTTATTAAAACAATAACATTATTGTACAAAATCAAGTAAAAATAAAATTTTGGTTATAAAAATAATCTATAAATGATGGTGTTTTTATAGATAGTAATATTTTAAATAATATATAGTAATAAACCAGTTACTTAATATTATTATAGTAGCAGAATATATCTTAGAGGTTTAATGTGACTTGAAGTTAAGCACTATGATACAGTGATGTTAGCTGGATGTCATAACACTATGGGTTTGTTGAGAAGGTGGCAATGTTGAAGAGTCTAAAATTATAAACAAAAAAAAAAACAACCTTGTTACGAATATATTTTTTATTAATGATTTTGGATCTTTCTGGAGTAACGGCAGACCTTTAATTATTTAATTTTTAATTGATGATACCACAAATTATTGTGGTAAGTAATCATTTAAAAAATTATATTTATAAAATAATTATTTTTTGTTTCTACCATAATCGTTTGTACAGTATATTGAGTTAAAGTAATTGTTTTTAAATTTTAAATGTAGATAAATATTAAATATTATATTTACCAATGTAGAAGTATCAAGTATGTTCATAAATTAAAAATGTGTAGCAAATAGCAATACAATTATTTTGAAATATCAATAGATTGTCTTTTAAATTAAAATAATGTATAATTAACGAATATTAATATTTATCATTTTAAATAACATACATAATTTGTTTTTAAGATTTTCATTTCCGAGTGTATTACATAGCTAAAATTACAGACGGCGTTAATCCAGCAAGGTTCTTAATTTCAGAAATATGCTAGTATAATTCTTGAGAAATGTATCATTTAAAATTTTAAGCCATGCCCTTTTTTTATATATATAATCACCTCATTAGTAGTTACTGTTCTAGATATTTTTGTTGAAATTCAGTCTAGTACAAGAGCTCCTTGTGGAAACGTAAATTCTTACTTGGAGTATTGGTCGTTGAAGATTCACTAGGGCTATTTAAAGCACTTGCACTACTTGGAGTCAATGTGTTGTGTGCCATAAGCTTTTGACGCACCTCTCGTATTTTGAGTTGTAATGATGATTTATTAGGAAAAATATCTGAATGGTTAGCCTGGAAAAAAATTAGGTTATTTATTAAATCAACAAACAACAATGATAATTCATTATTTACCTGAAAAACTGAAGTTGATTGAGTAGAAGGAAACATGCCTTGCTCTTGAAATAGAGTCATAACTAATTGTCTTCTCTGTTCCAACATCTTTCGGTGTCCTTTTTCTGCTGCAGAACTATCATTTCGCCCACTAGGTGTTTTAGGTGTCCTAGGTGAAGCCGCCACTGTATCTTCCTGTTCTAATACTCCTCTATATGCTTCTGGATTAAAATCTGGACCAAAAAATGTATTTCCAACAAGTTTCCCTGATGATTTTGGTGTTTCTGCCTGTGTGTCACAGTCAGATAATTGCTTTTTGCGGAATGTTTGAGCATTGAATACATGGGGACTGGAGGGTACTGATATTGCACTTGGTGAATTACATTCATCCGGTTTAAATTGTGGTAACGAAGAAAACTTCATTTCAAAGTTTACTTGTTCTAAGACACGGTCCATACCGTCCTCAATATTTTTTTTGAAAAAGCTACGCTTGGCCGACGGTGACACTGGAACTTCGTCAGTTGCATCTTCAACCATATCAGAATCTTTATCAGGTAAGGAATTTGGCAACGAATCTTGACTTGAAGATACTGAAAATATATGATGAATATTAGAAATGTACAACACATTTTTGTGATTTAATTATTATATATAAAAATAAGTTCTCTAATAATGTTATAATATTATTCATGTAGTGAAAAATATCAAATGCATCTAATGAATGAAGCATCTATTTATCTATTTCACAAAAATTATAGATATATTTAGTTTTAAATTTCTAAGTACAATCATAACATTTTATGTTTGGTATGATTAACTTATAATTTAAATAAAATTATAAACAAGTAAATGAAGAAAATTTCAAAATATAGTTTTTTTATTATTATTATTTTAATTAGCTGATTAAGTATTATGATCTTGATCCAACCCATTTGGCACAGCACTTAAAAACAAGTAAATATATAATAACAACGCATGATTAATGCTCATACAGAGTTAGATATGTGAATTAAGTAATTAATACAAACTATTATTGCAGGTTAGAAAATATACTAGTAAAAAATATATACATTTTGAGAACTCGTAATAATAACTAACACCAAGAGTATTAAACTAAATTACAGTAGAACCTCGATAATCTTGACCCCCAAAAGTCTAGTAGGTAAGTTCTACCTAAAAAGTAGTTGGAACAGTACATTTATAGTGAAACATGTAAATTTCTGAAACTTAAACTTAAAACTAATTTATTAATTTATTTTGGAATCCCCTTTCATTGTAATACAATTTTGAATCTTTAATAAATGGAAGCCAAGACTATAATTTAAAGAAACACCTGATTTTTACACTAATAAATGATTAAGTAAAATTAACTTATTTAATAAAAATTGAAATGGTTATGAAAGACTTTTGGCAAGAATTCATTAGGACTATCAAGATCTCTCGTATTATACTTTTACAGTTAATTACAGTACTAACCCATAGATTGTCTTCTTTGTAAAGGGGCTTTGCCTAATTGTGCTGGAGTAGGAGCAAGAACAAATGGCTTTTCTTCTATGTCGTTTTTTGACGGTTCCTCCTAAAACACATTAACCAAAAATCAATTAATATAGCATTGTTATTAAATATTAATAACAATGTCAACAAACCTTGGCACTATCATCTTTAAAATCAAATATAATTGGTGAACCGTTTTCTTTAGAATCTGCATACTGTGACTTCTCAAAAGACATTAAATTTTCATTATTATCAGCTCTTATAACAATATCTGGATCTCGTTTTTCTATATTAATTTAATAATTTAATTTAAATATTATATGATACTTTATAAAAATCATTTGAATACAAGATATATTTGCAATTAATAAATTACCTGAAATATTGGAATTCTTTGCTGTCGTCCCAGTTTCACTAAAATTATAAACAAAATATGATTATTTTATGAGGAAACATATAAGTTAATTACTGAAGCTTTAGTGGATTGACTTTTAGCAAAACGAATTATGATTGTAAGAATATAATTATTATTAAAAAAATGTAAAAAACATGTTTTGATAATACATTTTTTTGTAATTTTACTGAACAACAAATACTTTTTTTTAACTATTTAAATTGAATTGCTTTAATTATTTACTTAGGTACTTACTTTGTATTGATAATTAACGGATTATTTTGAGTACTGACAATAACAGTGGAAGCTTGTGTTGATTTCACAGACTGTGGTTGATTCAGTGTTGTATCTGGAGATGATAAATAAATTATAAAATAAATGCATGAATGAAACATTATATTATAAATATTTTACTTGTAAGTGTTTGCTGTGGCAAATATATGTTTGGTAGTCGACTCGGTATCAAATATTGTACGGTGGTTGTTTCGTTATTCCTTGTTGATGGATTTACGTTATCACTACCTTTGGCCACTAATAAATTAGTGACAAGAGAAGTGGAAGAGTCACCGGCATTCAAAAAAGCCAACGTTAATGATTGTTGTTGAAACCCTGATGACTGTTTACCAGCAGTTTGTATTAATACTGGTCGACCGCCTATTACTTGTCTAACAGAACATGTTGGTTTTTGTTCAGTTTCCTTGTTTGGTGAAGATGTGTAATGAAATATATTCTGCTGTGATAAGGGTGTTACAACAATTTTTGAGTTAACAGTTGTTGTAGTTGTCGGTTTGTTATTGTTCCATTCAGCAGTTGATGCTGCCCAAGCATTTGTGTTGATTAATTTTGTTTGATTCCAAGTTTCGGATCCAGATGATGTCCACGCAGTTGGTTCAGGTGTTTGTTGAGGGAATTGATCAGAAGGATTTTTAATTTTGGGTGAAGCGGGCATCAATTTAAATGCACCGCCAGTAGGTTGAAATGGAGAAACTCCAACAGGATTTATTGGAGAATGATATGGATACACAATTGGAGTTGTTGGTTCTCTCGAATTAACTGTTTTGGGTGGATACTTAGCATCAGTTGAACCCGAAGATACCAATCTAAAAATAAAATATGTATTCAATATAGTTTACACTTTATTACAATATTATGATAATAAGCATGTAAAAATGTATGTACAAGAACATAAACCAAAATTATATGTTTTTAAAACATAAATTATTATTTCAAGATAATTTATAAGTATTACAGTAATACTTAATAAATTTATGAATTTTTAGTTTAGTAAAATTTAAAAAAAAAATGTATTTGTTATTAATGAATAGATATGAAATGGTTTTACATTTTTAATTCAAATTGTACACAACTATTTTGATTTACCTAGCTTTTATGGGTTTTGGCCGACAAGTTACTTCACTGGAACTAGTTGATTTGACAGGACTAAACCTTTGTTGAGGAAATGTTTTATTCTCGTGTAATGGTTCAGCATCACTTTGTGATTCAGTATCAGAATCTGTCACTTTTTCTTTACATTTTAAATCAATTTCAGAACTTTCAACAACTACCTAAATATTGTATAAAAAAATAATTGAAAAAACATACTAAGTATAACACAAAATTGTTTATTAAATAAAAAAAACCTTAACACAAACCATTTGTTCATCTTCTGAATCATTTTTCATTTCTACATCGGGGGGATCTTTTTTTTCTTGAACTTTTGGTTCCTCAGCCATTTCTATAGTTACTTCAACCATAGGATCATGATCTAATGGTGTATGTTCATCAGTAGATCCTAACTTAGATCGCCCACTACCACTTGATTTTCTTCTATCCTTACTACACCACTTCCACTCTGGATGAGCTTTAAAATGAGCTTCTTTAACTTCAGAAGCTAATTCATGATACTTTTGTTTCTGATCTGGATCTAATGCATACCACCATTCTCCAAGAATCTTTGATACTGTTCTATTATCTTGATTTGGGTGTCGCTGGTGTACCAAAGCTCTATGTCTCTTACTAAATATCATAAAAGCATTCATCGGCCGTCTTATCCGATCTTTGGCTTTTGTTAGTGGACTTTGCGGTTCTTTAGTATTTTGTAAAGCACTAAGAGATTGAGTTCTACGTTTGCCAGCAGCAGTATTGGGATTTGTGTCATCAGTATCGCAAGGTTCTTGCTCAAATACATCATCATCATCAACATCAGGAGACTCTGCTGGTGGTGGAGTTAAAATAGGTGGAGCTGATAAGGGAGGAGAGAGAGATTTTGGCATTGAAGTGATATTTGGCTGGACTACTTCTTCTGAATTTAATATTGGCAATAATGTATCCCAAGAATAAACAGTTAAATTTCCATTTTCATTGTCTATAGGAGAAATATAATAGAACATTAATATTTATAAATAACAATGTTGCACACATAAAATTGAATTATTGAAATATAATTACTCGTCAGCGTGGGGTTAGGTTCAGGTGGCTCTTCTTTTCTTTCATCGACAATGGGTAACACAGGTAACAGTTCAGTAGGATGAACAATTACTTGTTGAAGTACTGAATTCTTATTTTGATAATCCTGATATTCATTCTGAAGAGTAGTGTAGCTATGTTTAGTAACTACAGAGGGTGTTGGGATGACGTTCGGAATGTTTTGCACTCGCTAAATTAAAAGTTAAAAATTTATGATTTAAATAAAAAAAAAAAACCATGATTCTTACTTGATGATATCCAGTAGTATGTAACAAATGTTGTGTAAATGATACATTATTTCCTGCAGATTCTTTTTTTATCACAGATTCTTGAAAAACATTATTATTGTCTCTGTTAAAAACTTCATTATTTTCACAAATTCGACCATATGCATCACTAACTGTATTCTATTTATTTAACATAAAATATAAATTTATTTTTTATTTATTAATTATTATAAATATTTATTATGCTAACCATTTCAACTGTGGTTAATGCTTTTTCTAATATATGACCATGTTGTTGAGATGATACTACAACACTCGGATGTCTTTCAACTTGCCACTGAGCCGCCGGTTGATTTGTGTGTTTTTGTTGTAGTTGAGGTGAAGCTAAGATTCCTCTCCAACATATTTGTGATTGAGAATATACAGCAATACTTGATTTAGGTTGTATTGTATGTGGTGAAATTCTGATCACACTAGTTTGACTTGAAGTTGGCATAGACTCGTGTAAGCCATGTTGGGTTTTTGGTCTTAACAATTCCGGCCTATAAATAATATTTGTTTATAATTTATAAATAAATTATTAAAAATAATATCAAACCAATCTTGGGTATTTGGTCTAAGATTTAGACTCTACAGTCTTGATAACCAGATGGCAAGTTACAAATTAAACTAGGAAAACATTTTTCAATGTATACTAAATATCAATTATAACTATTAAGAAGAAGAAGAAGTAACCACGTGTGTTGTCTCCATCTTACTATGTACATCAAAATGTACGTTCAGCAGTTTCAATTTTGTGTTGTAAGCTTAAATATTAGAATGAATTTACCTACTATCAAACTCAAATGTAAGAATATTATCTATGTTTTATTGTTGGTCTTTTACGATATTTTAATTTTTAAGGAAGTTAGTACTTACGAGCAGGGCTCGGGACTTATAGCATTTGCTTATTTTCATGGTTTGACATAAAATCTAGCAGAATGCTATACAAGTGTATGTCATGTTCAATTATGAAATATACGTGTTTTATTTTTTTGCTTTTTTACAAACATTAAAAAAAAAATGTATATTTTAAGTTTTATCGATTATTTTTGCTTTTATGCATATCTGCTGTCAAATTAAAAGTCCTAACCTAGATATAGATAGGTGCCACTGACGAAAACCTAGACATATCAGTAAATTGTTGTTTATTTTGTTCACGGTAAACCTAGAACTAAGAATAATTGTTCTCCTTTGTAAGTCATTTCCTAGTAATAAACACCATAACTCGTATTTGATCACTTACCAACTAATCGGCCAAATTAATCAATATTTTCGGTTATTAAACAATTTTTCAGAAAATAAACAGAAGTATAATAACCTTTAAGTGGCTTAAAGTTTCAAGTTTTTAATTTTTTTTTTTTTTATGTTTAAAAGTATAAAAATTAAATCATAATATTAAAAAAAAAATTTATCAATAGTTTTTTTTTTGTTTATTTTAATGTTTTTAAGTGCTTATTTGAGTTCTTATAATAAAGTATTTAAATGCTTTTTTCAACGCTTATTATGATGATAATAAGTGCTATAAGTCCCAGATAGTGCCAGACCCTGCTTATGAGTATATAAAATATTAACATTTGAAAATGCTCATAATTAATAGAAAATATTTTATTTATATTTTAATATCTAACAAGGCTTAGGTTTCATTCGGTTAGTTTTACTCCCAATTAATAATTCTAAGTTAAAGTTTGTAAACATTAAAAAAGATTGATTTGAACCCAAAATGAAATTAAAAAATAAATAATTAAATATACAAATTTCGTACTTCACAAGTTGTTGTTGTTGTCTAAATTGGTTGTTGGAATTATTGTTTATGGCAGGAGGAGTAGCTAGTCCATTTCCAGTAGGTGTTGTTGAAGGATAATTTTGATTTGCTGGCAAAATAATGGGTAGGAACATATTTTGACGGGATCCAACAGTAAGTGGCGATTGTGTATTATTATTACCACCTAATGGGCAAGGGGAAGAATATAATGGAGTTCCAGATCTTGAACTTCCTAATGAAACTGTAAAATAAACATTTAGTTTAATAATTGTATATAATATAGAGTATATGTTTAAAAAATATTCTTATAAAGTATCTACAATGAAATTGAACAATTCGAAAATGCTAGATTAATTATTACGTTGTATACCAAGCATGTTGGCAGCTTCTGTTTCATCAGGGTCAAAGCGACCAGCCAATCGTCGTTCAGAAAAACTAGGAGAAGTTTGAGATTCCCGTGAAGTTTCATCTCCATCTATAGTACTTCGATTTCCTCTAAAATTTTTTTTGCATATTTAACTTAATGATTAAACTAAATATAAATAATTAATGATGTAATACCTTGTAAAACTCGTACTACTTGAAGCACAAGACCTTAAACTACTGCCTTTTAAACTCAAGTGTCGAGAACAGTATCCTCTTCTTTGAGACTCTTTTGAGCAACCTTCTTTTGAACATAATCGTCGCCATTGTTTTCCATTAAACTTTTTTCTTATTCCACTTGGTGTTGTGACAATATCCCCTTTCTTATATTTATGAGGGGATGTAATCTGAGATCTAGGAGTGACTGGAGTGGATCTAGGAGTGGTGCTACCTCCGTGATCTAATATGCTACATGTGCTACCTCTGCTTTGCATACTGCTCCTTTTGCTGCTTCCAGATAATTTTCCAGCATCTAAAAACAAAAGTTAATAGATAAACTTGGAAACAATTACCTAATTACATTTTGTAGGTTTATAACTGTTTAAAACTATCAATATACCCAACAGTTAAAAATCCACTATTGCAAATAAAAAATGATCTAGTAAATAATGTTAATCCATTGTAAAATAGAATGAAATACAAAGATAATTATTTTGGTTAACTTAAATATAATTGAGATAAGTAAGATAAGATAAAAAAAATATGATATGTTAATTGTGTTTATTACTAAGAATAGTAATGAAAGTAAAGGTTTTATAATGGAAGTAGCATTTAGTTATTATTATTTTGATTTAAAATACAGACAGTGATATAACTTATGTTAAGTACACAAGTTAGGCTTAAAAGTTTAATTAGAAGGAATAACTTTGATCAAAGAATTTTATTCAGAAATCAAAGTTTTTAGTTGCATAACTGAATAATTTATTTATCTTATTATTTTCACAAAATTCTATACATACATATAAATTACTAAGTAAAAGATTACTGAGTAGGTTCTATTTTATAATGTACAAATATAACTGTACAAAACAAAAAACTGTAAATGTTTTAAATGTATTCTATAAGGGGGGAAAAATATTACATGGTATGTAGTAAAATTGATCAATCCCATTTTCAAAAAATTAGATTTTGTATGTTAAACTTACCAGCATCTGACATAAACAATATGTCTTCTCGTCGGAGATCATCATCACTTTCACAGAAATCATCAAAATGGCGATTATTTATAGGTTGTAAAGGAGAAGATACTGAAGTTTGATAGTAATTGGCTGGCACATTAGCTATAGGTGGTGTAGGTTCTCGTATTAATGGAATATGACCATTAGGTACATCATGTTCAAGTTCATCCCACCACGGTGGTAACAGTAAGCGAAGATCTGCTCTCTTCACCACATATTCTTCATTGTTACCAGATACAACACTTACAACAAATCTTACAGGGCTAGTTATTATTTTTTGTACAACACCTTCAATGAATACTCGGGGAACCAGATGTCCTTCGTCCGGTTGAGAACCAGCGATTCGAACACATACTCTGGCACCAATATTCACCTATCAAAACAAAATATTAATCATTAATTATAGATTACAAAATAAACATATTTTCAAAAAGTTATAATAAGCTGAACAAATGTATTGTATAAAAAAAAGTTATTTAATTTTTAATTAACTCGAGTTCAATACAGCAAGGGTAAAACCAACCAGTTGATATCAATTGAATTTTAATCAAACAAAGATCGATTTTAATACAATTTTTTCATTCAATTTATAGATCAATCTCATTCATTATCTAGATTATGAAAAATAAGTATAATTATAATTTTTTTTTTCAGTTAGAGCTAATACAAAAAATGAATAATCATTTTAAATATCATATATGCCATAATGTATCATCATAATTAATTACTATATAGGATTTAAAATCAATATTTCAAATTATATAATTACTAGAGAGTGAAATTTAAATAAAATTATAATATTTACATGAATAATCTATTTTCAGTTAGAGCTAATACAAAAAATGAATAATCATTTTAAATATCATATATGCCATAATGTATCATCATAATTAATTACTTAGAATTAAAATGTCTAATTGTATAATTACTAGCAAGGGAAACTTAAAATACTTAAAACAAATCATTTATTTAATCATTTAAATTATATGTGCTGTAATGTATCATAATAAGTATTTACTATATAGGGTTTAGAATTTAAATTTCCAATAATATAATTACTATAAAATAAAATTCAAATAATCTTATGATATTTAAAACTAAATAATTTATTTTTCAGTTAGAGCTAATACAAAAATGAAAAATCATTTTAAATCATACATGCCAACATGTATCATCATAATTATTTACTAAATAAGATTTAGAATTTAAATGTCCCATTATATAATTACTATAGAATTCAATTTTAATATTATAATACTTAAAACTAAATAATTTTCAAGAATCATTTATTTTCAGTTAAAGCTAATACAAAAATGTATAATCATTTTAAATCATATATGCCAACATGTATCATCATAATGAATTTACTACATGACATTTTAAACTTAAATTTCTCATGGTGTAACAAAAAGAACTGACTAATTTTATAATACAATGCCTTTTGTTATAATCAATATTTTAAAAATATTTTTTTTTACATAATTTATTAACACTTCCACTATTTTGATAGTACACATTTTTAATAAAATCGTCACAATTGTTGTCATACGCCTAATTGGGATTCTTTTTTTAAGGTTCTTTCTGTTACATCCTCTACAATAAATAATGGGTACCTAACTATGGATTATAAAATTATAATACTCAAAATTGAATAATTGACAAGGATTAATTTTTTTTCAGATAGAGCTAATACAAAAATGAAAAATCATTTAAAATCATATATGCCAACATGTATCATCATAATCTTTTACTATATAGGATTTAGAATTACATTTTCTAATTATACAATTATTACAGAATGTAATTTAAATAATATTATAATATTTAAAACTAAATAATTCATTTTTCAGTTAGAGCTAATACAAAAATGAAAAATCATTTAAAATCATATATGCCAACATGTATCATCAATCATCATAACTATTTGCTATTAAGGATTTAGAATTAAAATTTCTAATCATATAATTACTATAGTACAAAATGTAAAGAATATTATAATACTCAAAATTAAGTAATTTACATGGATTAATTTTTTTCAGTTAGAGCTAATACAAAAATGAATAATCATTTTAAATCATATGTTCCATAATGAATCATCATAATTATTTACTATATAGGATTTTAAATTTAAATTGCCGATTATATAATCACTAGAGTGAAATTTAAATAAAATTATAATACTTAAAATTAAATAATTGGCATTAATTTTTTTTTTCAGTTAGAGCTAATACAAAAATGAATAATCATTTTAAATCATATATGCCACAATGAATCATCATAGTTCTACACTATAAAGGATTTTAAATTTAAATTTCCAGTTACATGATAAGTAATAGGTAACTATGGAGTTAAAATAAAATTATAATACACAAAATTAAATAATTTACAGACTGTACATTATTTTCTAAAATATCTTAATCAAACATAGATACCTTCACTACATTCACATGTTACCTTCAATTATAAAAGATCTACACAATTGTATATGTGTAAAGCACATAAGAAATAAAATTAAAAATATGATAATCCATATTCTATATTATCTATGTACCTATAATAGTAGGTTAGACTTTATACTAAAAGATGGGAACTAAGTGTAAAATGAGTATTTCAAGATAAACATTTACTCGTTTTTGCAGTACGGTACCATACTGCTGTGTAATATTATATTATAATATTTTTTTGATGTGACTTATGAGTTATGGCTTATGATCAATATGTACAATACGTAAAATGGAAACAATAGTTGAACACATAAGTTATGCAATATTATACATTATACTTTAGTTGGTCTGTGACTATGTGTAAGTATACACTTATAATGGTAATTATGCACACTTGTTGTCAAGGCGGGGTATATCACTAAGTAAACATGGACACAATTCTCACAATGATGCTGTTTTGTTCTGTTTCAATCTATTAGTATAAGTCCTGTGGTCGAAACTTCCAGTTAAAATTAAATAAATATGAATTAATATATAACATACTTGACTTAAAGATGGACTGGCGTCACTGATAACATCATATTTGCTAGCATTTATAACATCTTTAAATGAAACATATCGCTGTCCTTCATCAGAATAGTCAAATTCTATCCAAACATCACCATTTGATGTTGCTTGTCTGATTAGACCTGGCAAATAAACTCCATCTCTTTTAGCCAATACTCTATGATCGGTCCATTCTTGTAAGTCAACACCAATTCTTGATGTTTCATCGTGAACGTTTGTATATGTAGCCTCGTCGTTTTGTTCAGAATGATCTTCAACAATTACTGGCACATCAGCATAGTTAGGTCGGTCAAATCCATCAAGTCTAGAATAATCGACAGCCATAGACTGAGGGGGTACAACGACAACGCTGGCTACACAACTGGTATTGCATTGTTTTTGAACAGGTAAAAGCGGATCAGACACAGGATCACATTCTTCAAGTTGAGATAAATCAAATTTTCGTTTCTTTGGTAATTTTTTAACTGTAGTTTGGTTATTGTTGTTGTTAACATTGACTGTGATATTGGAATGGCAGTTGACTAGGTCCATGTTGTCGTGAGGATTCATCAATGGGTTTATTTTAGGGTATGTTTGTCCGCAATTTTTCATCTCTCCAAATCTGTAAAATAAAACAATAAGAATTAAAAATAATATAAAATACACTGTAAGTACCAAACATCAGCAGATATTGAGTATCCTCTACAATTTGTAAATAATATTAATAATCATTATCTATATACTTTCTAGTACCTTTAACAAACGCAATTATAACACAATATGATTATATCAATAGATTTACTCGAATAATTATTAAACATTTTAGATCTACCTGGGTACCTAATTATTTTATATTTTTTGTAAGTTTTTATTTTATCAGTAAGTATTGTACCTAATACATTTGGTAGATATTTTAATTGTTCTCATATAAAATACAAATTGAAACCTTGTTTATTAATTGTTGAAATTTAAAAAATATTTAAGTATAAATGTATGATTAATATAAGCAATATAATGTATACCAATGTATAATATATTCTCAGGAAAATATATTATTACTGCAACATAATCTAACATAATGATATATCTTATTATGGTAAAGGGGAGTAAATAATATAAGAATTATTAATGTACTACAAAAGTATGTTATTTTTTTCTTATAGACTGAATAAATATATTAGACTACCTATACCTAATTAAATAAATCGAAAAATAAAGGTATGAATTTAAGATTCGTGTGATATAAATGATGGCATTTTAAATAGCTTTTAGTTGTGGTATACACAGATATTTTCAATGGGAGAATTACATTAACAAATTAATTTTTTTTTTTTTTTACCTATTTAGTATGTATTAATATGGCAGTAACAAAAAAATCAATGTAGGTATTCTCAATACAAACCTACTTAAAAATCGGTAATATAAAATTAATTTACATATCCATAAGAAAAACTTAAGAGAATAATTTTATAAGCTATTTATTTGTTTTTATTAACTTGATATGTGGAGTTGTAAATTATACAAATAAATTAAAATAAATTGACCTTGCAACAATTGCAAGTAACATTGTAAAAGTTAAAAACTATCTAATTTAGTACCTAACTAATATATTTGTTTACTATAAGATTACTATCTAAAGCTGAATTTGATGTCTAATATTTAAGATGTACCTATATTTAAGAGGATGTCGGCACATTGTTTTCTCTATCTGGCCCTCGCTCAATATGGACGGAGCGCATTTGGGCAGAATCATTTTTTTTTTTATGTTTTTGAGTAATCTTAGAGTAGAATCACTCATTACAAAAATGATATAGGATAATATTCTTGAGGGTATGACATATTATTTTGTCTAAATATTGTATCAGAATAAGTTAAATACTATTTAAATTTATGAAAATTGTATTTTATACTTAAAAGTTAAAGTCAATAAATAATAAAATATAAAACTGATTATATATCGAACTGCCATACCTTTGAAAATATTAAGCTCTAATTACTTTTGTAATAAATGATTTCACTCTTATATCAGGTACCTACTGAAAAATCATGAAAACATTTTATCTATGTTACAAGCAAGCCTGAAAGAGAAAACCAATAGATATGTGCAATAATGTCAATGCATAACATCCTCATAAGTCATAATAAACATCAAAATGTACCTACCTACCATTCAAAATCAAAATTGAAGTAAACAAGTTGCCTAGTGAGACGGCTATGAAATAATTAATAAGTATTAACAGGATGCCAGCACACTATTTACGATCTCTATCTAATTCACTGATGAAACAGCAAAATTTGTGTTTCACAGAACCACCAACCTTGTGTTGTTGGCTTTAGCAATATTTAGAATTAGAAAGAATTGACCTATTATCAAATTAAGAACATTATTATCTGTGTTCTTGAGATGGCTTACTTATGTTCTCCTAATTTTTATGACAATGTAAAATGTAACAATTTTAATCTTTTTTTAAAGTGAAATATCGTAAAAAAGCTGAAGCAAGAACACAGATACCACAGATGTTCTTAACTTTAAATTTACCATGTTTCTCATGGGTCAGAGATAAGACCAACAATGTGCCGACATTGTATTAAGTACTTAATACGATCAAGTACCTAATACGACACATTTGTCAAAAAAGCATATTTTAGGTAAAAAAACATCATTGGTACAATATCAAACAATATTGGACAAAATAAACGACCAAACATATTATAATATTAATATAAAATAGACTGACATTTAATTGAATAACAACTAATACAGAACGTTCATGGTCAATCATATTGCAGTAGAGAATAGTAATGATATAACTTTATGTATAAACGGTGCCTTAGATACAACCAAAAGTTTAACAAATACTACTTGAATTTATTGTAATTAATGTGAAATAGTACAAAAAAAAATATCGAAGTGTCGGAAAACGAACAGTGGTCAGCGGTGTGTCAAAATAATCAAACGGGAAGAAAAAATAATATTCTGTGGTCGTCGTCACAATGAGGGGGGGGGCAATATACTTTGGACGAAAACGTTGGCAATTGCAGCGCTTGAGATGTATCACCATAGTATTCCGAGATAAAATTCACACGAAATCACAGTAATAACAAGACGAAGGTGCCCCCAAATGCGAGAGTGTAATTTCAAACAATTTCCCGAAAGAATTACAAATAATATTGTTACAGACTACGAAAGTCGGTCGTTTATCAACACCAGCAGCAGCAGCTCCCGAGTAGTGAAAAATGTGTTATCACTGAACGCGCCGCACTAGCGCAACAGATGATTAGAAGTCGAGGTGTATTGGCCTCTGGGAACAAAGGATGAATGAATCGAATACTATGCGCTCGCACACGCACGCAAACGGGATAATTGGTGATCGGTGCGATTGCTAATTATTACCAATGGGTTACTTTTCGCATAACCACCGGGAGATTCGTAGACGGGCAACCGCGGCTACGAGTCGTGGAAACGCATGAGCCATCTAGCAATCGCTCACTTTGGCGTAGTGTTAATTACCCGATGTGGACGCCGAGAAGAATCTACGATCGCTGTCGGGCGGGCGGGTAGCCGTCGCCGGTGGCGACGAGACGATGGTCCTCTGTAGTTGTCCGGTCGCAGCAACCCCGTGCAGACGGCATACCGAGCGACGATCCGCGAACCGACGGCGGCGGCGGCGGCGGTGGCGACGGCGATACGATTGGCATGTACGGCGAGGCGCCAAGTATCGCGGCGATTATGCGTAATGATAATATTGATAGCGCGTCGACGAAAACGATTTTAGCAAAAAAAAAAAAAAAGACGACGGCGTCGGATTTACATATTATTTTCGTTTACGACATATTATTATTATGATATCGTGTGATTAAATATTATTCTATAATATTAAACACTACAAACTACGCACGGCGGCGGAGACGCGCGAGGCCCGAAAACGACGGCGGCGGTGAAACGAAAATAATAATAATAGTAAAATCCCACTCTGCGGAACGGGAGATACGAGAAAGAAAAGAAAAAATACTCGGAGGGTAAAACGGATCGAGAGCGCGCGCGCGCTACGTCTGCGGCGGTGTCGCTGTCAAACGCGCACGGAGCCTATGCGCGTACGTGAAGTCCTACGGCAGCGATACTAAACTCGAGACGGGGCCCGGCCGCGATCGTCGTCTACGGTATAATATGTGTGTGTGTGTGTGTGTGTGTGAGGCGAGCGCGCGCGCGCGCGCGAGTACCGCGGTACATAAGCGGCCGGTGCGAGGTGGTGCGCGGGGCGCTGTTGTTTCACAATTGATTGGAACGGCGACGGCCGCAACACAAAGCGCGGCGAGAGTGGTGTGCGAAGGACGGATAGATCCAAGAACGTGGACCGCAGTGTCGGTCCGTCTCGCTCGCTCTCCCACGCGCCCGCCGCCCGCCGGCCCGACACCTGCCACCCACCCGTACACCGTGCGTGGTGGTAACGTAAACGCCGGCCGTAGTATGCGCGTAGTACGTAGTATTATGTTGTAGTAGTACGTACGGTATAATGTATTGCATATAATATGTGTGTGTGTGTGTGTGTGTGTGTTTGTGTTGTTATTATAGTAAAACGCGCGTCCCGACGATTTCGTAGCGCGCGCACGCGACAGTGTTACCTCGACGAACGGACCGAAAGGTCGCCACTGTAGTACGCGGCGCACGCACTGCGCGGGTTGGCGGTCGTCGTGTAGTTGACTGGCGCAGGGACGTCGTTGTCAACACCACCGCCACTGCCGCCGAGCCGGTTTACTGTTTAGCGCGGCTTTTGACTCGGACGAAGTATGCGGGGAGGCCCCCCGCCGAGTCTTCTTCGATCGTCTCGGCGGCAGCAGCAGCTGCTGTAGGACACTATATATGGCTAATAAAAAACGCCGCCAAAATGCCGAATAAAAGAAATTCCTTTTCCTCTTTTCCCGATTCTGTTTCTAGGGGCTCGTCGATTTAATCACAGTAAATCACATTTAATCGTATCCAACGACGACTACACGACGTCCTGTTTAGTAATATTTTTTCGTGTACCGTACAACAATTAAATATTGCAAGGTACCTTGAGTTCGTCCCGATGTAGCACACATTATTATATTTATTACATGCATATAATGTACGCCACTAGGCCGCCGCCGAAGCCGATCGATGGCCGACTGACCCGATTTCACCAAAGTTCCTGCGCCTGGCGCCGCCGTATTTCAGTTGCAGCAGCAGTGTACATGATACATAATAATCACGACACCAACGAGCACCTGTGTGCGAGACTCTCACTCAAACTCGCCCCCCGTGAGCACAGCTTCACATATTATGTCCTTCGTCCCCCATAACACGTACCTACAACCTACCATATTTTTATGGACATGGCGTATGGAACATTGCCCCACTGCCGATGATCCTGCAATTTATGACGGTAACCAAGAATTTTAGCAGTGGATAACGATGAATCGAATATATTATTGTATTATTCCTATTAGTGATGAATATTAGTAGAATCTTGAGAAGGTTAAGTTTTGGTCGAACAAATTATATTAAACTCTTCGAATTGGTACAATACGTATATACTATTCGTCACTAAAATACTATCCACAGTACCTGCAGTGACCCTGCAACGTCCCGACCGCATTATTACGCTGACGTATATAAATATAATATAACAGACCTGGAGGCGTGGAGCAACGGCTTTACCTCAGAAATAAGTATAATAACGTTACCACGTCCTGCAGCTGCAGTAGGTAATAACTAAAAAAAACCGCAGTTCTACCGTGTCCAATGACACTTTATAATATGAACCCTGATGCGAATAGCATCGAATAAATGTCGATATCAATAACAAATGTACCTATACTATCAATATTAATAATTTAATATTCATAGTCATCGGCTATACTTGTCGATTTTATAACTGTTATACATTTTAATTTCATTGATTGAACATTAATCATATATACTGTACATGCTATTCTCTGTAGTTTTAAGATTATTTCAATTCAGCATAATTTTTTAATAATCATTTATTAGTTGTAGTCCGCACTTATGATATTGCATTTAAATCACTCAACATTTTGGGTACGTGGTTATTATGTGTAGGTAGGTTAAATTATATAATTTATCCAGTAAAATGAATGTCATAGGTACATCGGTGTATCCCGGTATTCAAGTTGTTACGAAGGGCGTATCAGAATTATTAGTTCCCAGATTATTTTAAAAGTCCATTTTTTCTCCCCATTTTATACATACCATTAAGACTACTAACACGTTTTATGAAGGAATTGAATAATTGATAAATCATATTATTTAGTTCAAAATGATGTCTTACGTATCAAAATATAAATCATAATATACACAGTATTTTTTTTTTTTATTATTTTTAAGCTTCGGCAATTGAGGCTATTAGGTATAGCCGTATAGGTTGTGTTACTGTAGGGTTTTAGGACTGTAGAGTTATGGAACACATGTGTGTAGTATTTTTTTATCATATATTTCATTTATAATTTACATTTTTTTGGATATTTTATTTTATTGAGGTAAAAATATTAGTTTGAATTCTAATATACTTATTTCACTCTTTAAATTGTCCATTTCTCTTATAATATATGTTTCTTTGATTTTTAACTCTAGTCTATACAGTACAGCTGAGTGTTAACAACTTGCCCACCTTTTTATATTTAATTTCGAATTGTAAGATGTATATTATTTTGAACACAAACACACAGTGGCGTATTTTGGGGTTTTTTTTTTGGGGGGGGGGGGTGTCCTGACTCCTGATCTCCACAATTATTTAATGACAAATATTAACATAGTTTCATCACCAATTCATACCTGATTATAAATTATAATACATCTTAATACAATAATACCTAATATAAGTGGACATTTTTTTGTAAAAAAATGATAGGATTGCTACTTACATTTTTAATTATAATAAAATTATGATAGGAATAAAGTATAAACAATTTTACTGAATAAAATAAAACCAATCTAACACTTAAATTTACTGAGTATTTTTTCGTATGAGTTTAATTTATTTTGTATACTTATATAATATTATAGAATAGATATATTAAAAGAAAAAAAACACTAAAATTTCAAAACTTTATAACCTCACAATATTAAAGGTTTTTTTTACAGCCAATTCGTCAAATACTTCCTTACTTTCAATGCGATGCTTCCGATTGATTGATAACATGGCTAATCCATTTAGCCTTTTCTAAATAAAACAATTATTTATTTATTTAATTTTATAATTATGATTTAGACTTAGTCAAAAAAAAAATAAACTTACTTGGCCCATAGTATTACGTTAATAAGTCTTTATCTTAAATATGAAAATAATCTTTCGTTCTGTACAGTTGAAACTGGCAGTGTCGCAAAAATAGTTTATGAGACGAGATCTGATATTGGGGTTGAATCATCTGTATTTTTTATTGATGAAATCATAGAAGAATGTGCTCGCTTTTTGGAGGGGATGATAATGAAAGTGACGTATCTTCTAATTCAAACGTAATACATGAGGAAATGTCCTGCTTGGAATCGGGTTGACTACGACAGTTAGATATTTTCATAAAATACGAAATGGAAGTTAGTTTCTTCTTAGAGCTATTTATATATATATATATATATATATATATATACGCAATATATATAATCAATGCTAATACCTATTGGCTATTATCTGGTATAAGATGAAAGTATGAAATATACATTATTCAATGTTCATTTTTCATTTTTCAAAGCAGTTTTAAGATATTTCATTATTCGTATTTTGTGATACTTCAGTAACGAATATAACTAAGAAAACAATTTGGGGGGGTTAACCCCCCAGGACACCTCCCCTAAATACACCACTGCAAACATACAATTAATAAATAATAAAATATATATGCACAGGTACAAGGGGTCGAGTGAGTAAGTCACTGATATGTATGTTTTAAATTACATTTCAATAATAAATCATTGCATGTGAAAAACGATTCTGATAGAGAAGATCAAGATAAGATATGGTCTGTCAGATAATGTTGTATCTCCCAAAATGTACCAATACGGCAACACTATAGTGTTATACATTAATATAGCCATATAGGTATAATAGGTACATCGTACATATATTATTTATTTAACATATTATTTGATCATCATAATACATTATTTAACGAATAGTATAATAAGCAATATTCGAGTTTGGGGTGGGGGCCAAAAGTAAAATGTTCCCAGTAGTTATCAAAGGAGTTAGGTATAACAAAAATAGTCAAGGAAAAACGGAGTTTTTTACACAAAACCAATTTTTAATAAAAACAGTTTTGACATTTTGTTTAGACGCAAATCTCTTAAAAAAAAATCATAAACACATGACATTTTCAATGTTTATTGTTTTCCATACACCATAAAATGTTCAAAATGTATTTTGACTTTTTTTAATTTACAGCTTAGAAAACTATAAATGTTGTAAGTAGGTATTGTATTTGTTTTAATTGCATGCATAGTTACTTAAAAAATTTTATAATATATTTCAATTTTCAACTTTCAAGTCTTAAAAATGAATTTATTGTATGAAACATTAATAAATTATAATATATGATAGATACCTATGCTTTTAAGTTTTAACTTGTATCAATTATTTAACGATATTGAGTCATTGAGGTTATACCTAAGGGCAATAATCGAGTTCATTTTCACAGAAAAAATTGGCCTTAAATAATATGAACTTTTAATAATAAACGAGCAGATTTAGTACTTAATTAGAATAAAATTCGGGCTTTTGGAGACGAGAGTAATTAAGAGTTACAGAGGAGCGTTCACATAGGCGGATATTAATATATGATGCAACTGGTCCAACAATTTATAGTTAAACATTGCACTATTCAACCACTTTTTATGGTCGTTTGCGAGGTCGAACGGTTTAACCACCAAGAACGTAAGTAAATAATAAAATTGGTGATCGATATTTAAACTTATGAACGTTAATTGAACCGTCGCCCGTCGAGGTTCATGAACTGAACATATAGAACCATAGGTATTAGGTAGGTACACTAGCACATTTTAATCTTCTGAATCCACTGGGAACCAAACAATTTTAATAGGTGATTGGAACGAACAGTCAATTGTTTATTGAACCATACTGTTTCATAAATTATTGAACTTTACACCATGGAATAAATGCTCTCCTGAACTCACCGTGAACCAAATGATTGGCTACACGATAGCTGACACGTTTTACTCGTCAGTAAAATCCTAATCGTTTTGTATCCAAATAATTGTGAGTGATACATTTTTTAAGCGTAGGTTATAGGGGTGCCGAGTGGCATACTGGTATCTAACCTTATCTATATTACATTGGGCGACACACTCTAAAATAATCTGTGATACATGATACAACAACTAAGTAATTAACTTAGTATATACTATAAATTTACCTCTATTATTAGACTAGCAGCTCTTGAGTATGCATTATGGATCACGTATTAAGATTTAGGATAGAAGTTTATATTAACCCCCCAAACCTGGTATCACCTATACAGTGATGTAGGCATGTAGCTGTTATTATTGAATTAAATTTTGTATATTGTTTTGGGGATGGGGAGAAGGAAAAATATTAAATACTTCACTTTAGAATGATTTTTGATTAGGTACGCCTGAATGAGTTTAAAAGTTATATCTTAAATCGTGGTGAATATCCAAACGAATTTATTGTTGAAAACATATTACATATAATCAAAAATACATATATGCATTAAGCAAAATAATAAAAAGAATTAAATGAGGGGGGGATATCCCTATTACCCCTCATCATAAATTAGCCGCTGTATACTGATCACCCACCGTACTATTGGAATAACTAGCCTATGTCATTGGTAAGGGTAGGAGGGGGGCTATAGCGTTTACAAACTTTATTTCAAATAATAACTATCCTTTTTTTACTGTAAATTATCTTTTTTAAAGGCAAGTTCTCGCATTTGGAAAATGAATTTGTGACACCACACAGTTACTGAGGCGGTATTACGTAATTAATATAATGCCAAGTTTTCCTATTGCGGATAGCACACCATGTCACCACCACTCACCATACAACCACCGCGCGGCGAGCTATAGATTACTCGTTGCAGTGGGTGTCTTATGAGATAATTTCTTAAGTTTTTGCAGTTGGCTTCGTTTCCATTGTCACTGCAGTGGGTGTCTTATGCAGTGTTATGTATAATACAGGGCTATTCGAAATTAATCATCCGAAGCTTTGCATCTGGCTTCCAAGGACACCTGATCGTATACGCCACGTGACTACTATTCTTTTGGAGATATAATATGTTAAACATATTATACTGTGTGCGACGTACGCAGGTACCTATACGGCTATACCTACCGCCATTATTGTTGACCACACATAGGAACTAAAAAATTAGGAGAGTCGATTACAACGGATATGCAAGGAATGAGTTTGAGTTCCAACTTCCAAGGGAAGCCATATGTTATAACATTGTTGTATAGGTATACCGTATTATACCATTATATAAACAAATTTGAAATATTATTCTTTAATTTTAATGTGTGCGCCTATTATATTATATTACTTAAAACCTAAAATAATAAAAATATAATATAATACAAGCATTTGATATCGGATAAATAATTTTCAATGTTGAAGCGAACGAAAACGGTTCGAGAGTATTGGTCGACAGCCGCGATGCCCGGGTCCCCTCTCCTACACTATCTAGGAAGAACATGACGAACCACGAACGGCGTGGGTTTGTGGGAGGGGGAGAGGGCAGGGAAGAGGAGTTGCCGTTCTTTAGCCAAGTGAAAGCTGTTTTAAATGTTTAATATTATATGTCGCAGAAAACCAATACTCGGCTCGCTCTCGCGATTCCAAGGACTCACTCGAAGTGGGCAAACACGCCGCGCGATCGCCGAAGACTGTGTAGAAAATCTTCCTAGTCGGTGTCGAGCGGGCACTACGCGCTCACTCAAGAGCGTGACGCATAATATAATATTATTAGGCATCGTTTGCGTGACGCGAAAAATAAAAAATAATATCAATATCGTCTACGAGCGTCAAACGGACCGGTGCGTCGAATTTCGATGGCGGACCGCGGACAATGTCGGTGCCGGTGCACCGACCCGTAGCAGCAGCCGCCACAACGGTGACGGCGGACGATGGCGCAGCGGCTACGGCCAAAGTCGTGGAGATACGAAATCGTCATGTTCCTCGCCGTCAACACGTCGTTCCTGGTGCTGTTCGACGCCTTCTCTGCAGACCGCGACACCCGGCGGAGCGCACCGGTGCGCCCCGGACCGTCACCGATGCTCACCGGCGGCCGGCGGCGCCCGTTGTTGGACCTGAACGGCTTCGAGTACGTCGTCGACAGCGGCGCGTGCGACGGGCCGCGACGCCACACGCCCATCGTGGTGCACAGCTACGTAGGCCACTTCGAGCGTCGCCGGGCCATCCGGCGGTCCTATCCACGAACGGTGCTCGACCGGCTTGGATTCCGTCACGTGTTCATGGTCGGCTTGCCGTCGTCGGGCGACGGCGACCTACAGGCCCGGCTGATCCGGGAGTCGTCCCGGCACGGCGACGTGGTGCAGGGCAACTTTCACGAAGCATACAGGAACCTGACGTACAAGCACGCGATGGGCCTGACTTGGTTCGCGGAACGGTGCTCGCGGTCGGACTACGTGGTCAAGATGGATGACGACATCGCGGTGAATGTGTTCAAGCTGAAAGCCGTGCTGGGACGCGTCGACAACCGCGACCTGGCCGGGTGCGTGATCGCCGCGAAACCGATACGGGACGAGAGCAACAAGTGGTACGTGAGCCGCGCGGAGTTTGAGGGCGACGTGTACCCGCCGTTCCTATCCGGTTGGTTGTACGCAGCCAGAGCGGCGTCCGTCCCACGTTTGCTGCGGGCGATCGGTGTGCGAGAAAAATACTTTTGGATCGACGATCTGTACGTGACGGGCATACTAGCCGAACGCGCAGGACTTGAGTTCACCGACCTGAGACCCGACTTCGAGACCGATCCGGGACCGATACACTGTTGCGTACACAAGCGACAGCGGTGCGACTTTCTGGCAGCACCCACTGGCGACGATGACACTTTGCTCCAGCGATACGCCAAACAGCTTACAAGTTGTAAGGCTACCAACTCGTCTTGTGATGTGTTTCGTAAATCCAAACTCCATCACAACTGTCTGGACTTGTGGAAAAAAAAGCCACTAGACGTGCGCATGGGAAAACCGTCAATAGAAATATTGAATTGGAATTAATGATCTAAACAATAAGACTTGTGATATGGACTTATATGGACTTGATATTTTAATATTAAAATCCGATCAAGCAAAAACAATACAAACAGAAAACTATTGCATATAAATATAATATATTGGAAGTAATTCACCATTTTATAAATCAAATATTTCATGTGATATTTAACAATTTATTTGTAACAAACTAATCACGACGATAATGATTTTTTTCTAAATTTATTGTTGACTTAAATTAAGTTCCTTTTTTGTTGTTTAGTTTTATTTTAATAGAAATAATTTGAATCATTACTGTAATATTTTAAGTTTGCTTTACTTTATAGTAGTAGTACCCACTATAGTTAGTAATATTTTGTTTATATTGTTTATAAATAAATATACAATTATGAGAAATAAATAATTTATTCATTTAAGACACTTAGGTTATGTTAGGTTTTAAACAACTAATATCTCATACTAAAATCATTAATAAATAAAGTATTTATTGTGTATAAAAAAGAATTTTGTTTAGGAATAAATCAATTCACAAACATTACAAAACAATAATCAAACAATTTGAGAATGAATAAAATGCAGGGTAGTTTTAAAAGAATGACAATTGTAATACTATACACTGAAAGTCATTTTTTTATAAACGTAAGTAAGTATTTTATTGATGAAATGTGATCAAAGGTCATCAATATATCATTGAAATACAAAGCGATGTATAAATTGTGACAAAATGTTGGTTGATCTTTCTGGCCAAGCGATTACCATAACCCGGAACTGTATCCACCTGGTGGTACACGGCTTGCCTTCTTTTGTTCTGGAGCTGGTTCTGATTGAGCAGAAACATGCTGAGCTGGAGTAGCTGTTGCTTTAGGAGCTTCATAACCTTCCCCGGTCACTGGATTACCATCTAAAAATAAATGCACATCAAATTAACAATGTAAAAAAACTTATTTTATTCTATGTATTGGATTTCTAAATTAAGCACAATTATAAATACAATGTTATTAATAAGTAATAATTAATTACATAATATTCAGATAAATTATCATAGAAGAAATTATAGATAAGTACTTAAAATAAAACAAAAATATACAACACACATTTATAAAATCATAATAAAACATTTTCTGGTTTTATATTATAATAATTAATATGGTATATTACCACCATATCTAATTACAACAGTTAAATGTTTATTTTTTGCTATTAATTGGTAACATACCTTTTTTCTTATAAGCCCATCTTTGAAAATTAGTGTTATTGGTAGTAGCAGTTTCAAAGTTAAAAGCTTCAAGCAAATATCCAGTAGGCAAACATAAAAGTAGCAAGCAGAATCGAATTATTAAGTATGCAGAAAAGGGTGTCACTATAGTATACTTAGTATAGGAAATTACGTAGGTAGGTTAGCAAATGTTCTACTAAATACGATGCAAGATATTTAAAAGTGCATTATTAACAATTAATAATATAAACATTAATTTTAAAAATATTATAGACAATGCTAATAAAAAGCCAGTAAAAAAAATTGATTGAATTAATAATTATTAAAAGCTCAAACCAAATAGTTGGATAAGATAGATACTTTGAACCACTTTGAACCATAAAAGATGACATTCATAATTTAAAACCAACAAATTAGTTATGTGATAAAAGTAATTTAATAAAAGGATTAAAATAATAAAATTTAACCATGGTCTTTTGTAATATATATAACTATGTAAAGTCCATAATACCTTCTAAATATTGTGATTAATAGGAAACTTTAATATTATCCTACAGCTAAAAACAATAAAAGCAACAAATATTTTTTATTAGGTTATACCTATAACATATTATAACTTATAGGTTGTTAAAAAAATAATGTAATTCCAATTTTTATCAATTATATCATTAAAAAGTTTTACATATTAACAACTTAAGAAATATATAAATATATTAAATGATTATTAGATAACTATTGGAATTACTTACTGTGATTGAAATGCATAATTTATGTAAAAAAAAAGTAAAGCTATAAATTAAAATAATATTTAACCAACCACTCATTAGTATAGTAAGGTAAGTATAGTAAGTATAGTATAGTAAGGTATAATAACTAGATTAAAAATATGTTGAAGATTGTGAGTTAATCTTACCTTTATTAATTGGAGTATCAGATACAGTTTTCTCAATACTTTCATTTACAATTTGAGACTCAACATTATTATCATTAGTGAATTTACACTCAACCTTATTATCATTAGCAATTTGAGATTCAACATTAATATCATTAGCTAAAAGTATAACTTATTCAGTTGAAATATTTTTAGACTACTCGTACATAGAACAAACTTTTAATATTAAAATTACCAGGTTTATCAGAGTTTCCGTTAGCAGCAACTGTACCATTACTATGTTTTGGTGTTTGACCACCCAGAATAATGGAGCTTTGGAGATTCTTCTGATTTGTACCACGTTTATGTGGATTAACTTCATCACATGATGTCATTCCAAATATGTCACTACTTCCACCACCTGGTGGTTTCAAGACCCTTAAAAAAAAATTTTTATTAGTTTATTGTACATACAAATTATAATAAGTAATGCATTTTAAAATGTTCAAAAAATTAATACATCAAAATATAATGAATATTTAAGACATCTATAATATTTTATGATATATTAATATTGTTAATTGTGATTTGTGACAACAACCTCTATATAGTAATCTATTCATTGAATTAAAATAAATGTTACTAACTTTTAAAGATGTGAAAATAATAATAAACAATTTATTGTATAACAATAAATCAATTAATGTAAGTATTCAGTTATTTTAACAAATTGATATTATTATGATATGATATCCTCATTATTTACAAGAATTTATCATAATAATAGGTTACCACTTAAATATGTTCAAGGATTCATAAGGAGTTTTACCATATGGTAATAATATATACAGATCAGAACATGGATATTTGTATGTGGGAAGCCTACTTGTGTAATGACAGTGTGTAATTAAATCAGTAAATATAGCATTATGTCTTAATATTAATTGCCAGGTAAAATATTTTGATTTTGTTTTAAAACAAATTGTTTTTAAAAATTCAATAAATATCTACCAGCTACTTTCAACTTTCAAGTATAGTAATAATTTATTGATATTGGTATATAATTTAAGATAAAGTAATAAGTAACTGACAATCAAAAAAGTTTAGGGTACAGGTTTTTGCTTCCTTGGTACATGCATATTGCATATATATTATAAATACACTATATTATATATATAGTAAATAATACTAAATAGAAATAACTTAATATTAACCTATGTTAAAGAAATTATTAAATATCTGTTAATGCTTATTAAACATAAAAAAATTGATGTTTGTATATTAAAACAACATTGAATGAGAAAGTTGAAACCACCTCAAAAGCAGTGTTATAAATAAATAAATAAGCCAGTGTTTAATTAGCTTAAACTTCTAAGCACTAGTTAAAATAAATTAATAATTATTAACATTTAAAATGTATTTTAATGTATTTAATTTACATAACTTTAACATTAATGTCACCAACTGTTAAATTTGTATAATACAATGATTATCTTTGATTATTTAATATTGTTAAATTATAAGTCTTATAATTTAGAATATTGTGTACACTTTTCGAGTATTTTACTTGCCTATTATGACACGGAGATCCTACGAACTCAGCGCCCCAAAGATCATGACAAACTCCTCCAGGAGGCGTCCTATTTTCTCTAATAGATAATTTAGACATATTATTTGTATTAATGTGAAAAAAAAAACGTAAGAAAATTGATTGCCATAGTGAAAAATAGGGCGATTTTAATACAGCATAACTAATATAAGTGGGCAGACAAAGAAAACTGGACGATATTTGAATGACCTCGCCTTATTTGGAATAACTAAGAGTGATCATCCTACACAAATTTCTTTATTGACGAAATGAAAATGAAAATGATAATTAAAATTATGTTTTTTTTCTATGTTATAATTAATATCCTAATCAAAATGGTACGCATAAATATTTTAGGAATTTGAAAAAATGGTGTATAATACTATAATATATAATCAAAAGTAAAATAATATACCTCAAACTCATCTCCGACGAATATCAACAAACAAACAAGAAAACGAATGACCAAGTCTTGACTAGCACTTTATGTAAAATGAAGAACTTGCACCGAGTACCGTGTTTTATATAAAAATATTAAATATCTACCTTGAATTGTATGTGTAGGTTGAACTGTGAAATAAACCAGTACAGCCACAATGGAAATATAAAATGTGCTCTTTTATTTTATTTTAAATGTTTTAATAAAATAAGAACTCGCAGTGATCAGTAAAATATACTTAGTAACAATAAACTGTTTTAACTGAGTTGTAAATCGTTATTTACCGAAAAAATACAGTTTTTATGAATAATAGTATACAGTGCACATTAAGACGATTAGGGTTCCATTAACTTTGTGTTGGTTCTTTAAGACATTAAGAATAATACAGAGTAATATACTAATATAGGAGTACAAAGACAATTTAAAGTTAAATTATTAAATTAGAATATATTATGCAAGTAAACAAGAAAATAAATTAATGCTGTAGAAATAATATTAGCTAACATTAAACTACGATATAGATCATATAGAGATGCATCATACATTAAAATCAGAAACATTTCCTTACATGTTTAAACCGTATTAAGAATATATAGGTAAGGTACCTATTATACATTAATAATACATTTTATAATTGGCTACAGTAATTTTATATAATGTTTCATTTTTACATGTTGAAAACAATTACATACTCTTGTTTATTTTGAGATGTTTATTGTAAAAATTAAACTTAACATTAATTTTCTTATTACATATAAATATATATCATAAAGATTACAGAATAATCGTAGACAAAGTCGAGTGACTTTAAAATAAATGTTGTTACAAGGGAATCGACCCTCAATAATCCCATCTGTTGTGTTCGAAAGATTCATTTCGTAACAACCGTTATATTTTATAATAGAAGTTTTAGAAGCGATTGATTTTAAGCACGTTTCTATTATTTCATATCCCGAATTAATAATTTTAATAAATACATACAGTATGTATAGTGTATACGATAACGGACAGTACATCCGATTACAAATATAGCTGGAGGGATTCTCTATTCATTGGCATCAAAAAGTTTGAGAACAACTATAGAATAATAAACGCCGCTATAATAGATTGGCCATGTTTGGTTTACGTTCATTGACATCGTCAACGTTAAAAATGCAATATAAGTTATAACAGTATCGAAATTTACTGCATGTCCGATATTTTCTTTGTCATTCTTATTTCCTTCCTCTACAGCCGACACACACATTAAAATACTTAATAACTTCAGACCCCATAAAATCTTGCAAAGAATAAAATTGGGTTTTGAAGCAGACACAGTCATTTTTTCACCCTCGTATTAAGGGTTCTCCCTAAATTATATAATATATTATACACGGAGTAATCACATTTCAGATTGTATGACTCACGCTATGCAAGGAGTAATGAGTAAGTATTTTTCAATAAAATTATTTGTTCTGAACGTTTAAGGTTGTTTTACT